TATTTTTATGGAAAAATTCGTTTTGTCGGTTTAAAATAATCACATATATTTACTCCAATGAAAGAAAGCAGATTATTTAGTCATAAGTATATATCGCATATCAGAAAACATTTTTACTTATACCCAGTTCACTTTTTTTAATAAGTTTTCTTAGTAATATAAAAAATATTGAAAAACATTTCTGTGTTAACTGTAAACATAATAACATTTCTTGGTAAAGATTAGATTTTAAAATAACTTGTCATAATTTTCATTATTTAAATATGACAAATTCTATCCCTCTAAATGAGTTAAATGGAATTTGTCTAACGTATGCCAAAAGTTTTAGGAAATCTATTATAATTATAACTTATAACCTATACCTAAGTCTATATGATTTCTTCAATGTTAGGATATCAATGTCATTTCATTTCTTGTGTGGTGTCAGGAATCTTTTTGATCACTCGATCAGGTGTTTATTTCGCGGAGCTAACAGCATCACTCTTTATACGATATTTTATATATACAAAGGTATTGCCCCGGCGATGTTCATCTAATATTCAATGAAATAAAATTATTACGAGGAATAACATAAATATACTTTTAGTTCGAACTCACAAGAAAGAAAGGAATAAAGAAAAAAATATATGTTTAAAAAACGATCAAGCAATGTATGTACTTACTATCAACGTTTGAATTAAGATACATCTTGGGAGGCTGTATTCAATAGATTGTCCTAAATTCAAGAGCGGTCGTTAGGAAAATGTGTTGACAATATTACGATGAAGGAAACGAGCAAGTTTGCTTAATCTTTAGCCTGACTTTAGTATGTTAACTTTAGTTCGTTGTCGCGTTAACAGCGATGGATGTATCTTAATTACGCAATAAATTTGAAAACGACGACGTAATAACGCTCGTATTAACATAGTTAGCAGATGATTTTACTAAGTCATATGTCTTTATTATGAGGGGTGTAAATATAAGAAGTTTTCCTTTAATATTGTCACATAGAACTAACATATATCCGACAACACTGAGAATAAAATTCAAGTGTCGTAAATCAAACCCGTATGAAGTTGACGACAGTTTAACAAGCGTACATCGAGCAACAAGTTTGTCACGCACGGATATGTTAAATCATAATAGTATTGCTGCGAACACACAAAAAACTTATATACATCAGGCTGAACATTTCTAGATTAGATATTATCATTTGATAAATTCAATCAATAGATTCATATGGTTACGTTTGAAGCTAAATACACGTAAACTACATAAAGTTATAATCCTTTTAAATACATATTATTTACCCCGGTTTTGACTGCTAAGATTCTCTCTTTACCTTACACTAATCAACAAAAATATCTGCTGTCAAAACATTCTTTTGTTGAATGATTATAATAAATTTAAAGATAAAGAGTTGGAAAACGAAGCTATTCTCAAAAAAGATTCCTAAAAGATCGTAGAACAATGCACTGAAGAGAATTAGTGTTAGTTCACAAAGCAAACTTGTAATCTCTGAATGAAACTTGAGTTTGACACGAGGACAGTTTATGAGAGTTTTGAACACATCTCACTCACACACACGTAACTTCAAATTAAATTAGAAATCATTCACGCTGAAAATTCAGAAAACTGAATGCTATTCAAACTTTTGAGATTAGAGAAAAAGTCGCGTGTATATATTAGAATCTAATAAAGTTTAACATTTAATAAATATATACTATCACATATTTTTATAGAAGACTTGATATTCAGTTTCTTTTTCCTTTTATCTCACATTTTATAATATATTATAATTTTAATTAATATTAATTAAAATATATACATATTTTACGTCCCTTATATTCTCTGTCGTCCTTTTGTACTCTACCCGGGTGTAATCCATAAATATTTTTTGAGATATATCAAATGTGATTATCCTTTAAGAATAATAACTTACTAAACACATAAACTGAGTGTATATCATCTATTAGAATATAATGTAACTTTTGATATAAAAAATACATTATTTGATAACAGTGCATTTTATACTACTCATCTTTCTTCCGTATGGTAATAACTAATTATAACTAAGATGCTAAACGAAATATTTTTATATCCTAATAAAATAAACCCTAAAAAAATTCGATCGTATTTATTAGTGTAATTTTTAAATCAAACTAATTAATTTTAAAGGTATCAAATTATATTTGTTTAATAAATTTTATATAACAATATTAATAATATGTAGTTAATAAGCAACTAGTTTGAAACGGCGTCACGTTACAAAGCACGACCTAGTCCGTTCTTGAAACAATTAATTGGATTTTGTATAGTGTTTACTAAATTTAATAATTCAAAGGACTTAATTAAGCCCTTGTTTGAATTATTATACGAAATCAGAAATAGGACGCCTACTATACAAAATTATAGAATGATAAGGATTGATCTACATTGGGGTAATAAAAATTAAAGATATTTCTTATTAAATTATTCTATATGTAAGATAAGAATAAATACGGGATATTTATATCCTAATAAATAAAATCGCAATGACAACAATCAAAATGAAATATAAAGTTTTGCTACCACTAAAGAAAGTCAACTTATATCACTTATCGGCATTGACAAAGTTATAGTGCAGTACAAAAACCAATAAGACTTCACACATTGTCGGCTGACTTCCTGATTTTATCATTCATTCAGTGGCTTTACAAACTTCTGTACAGAATTTTTGTAAGACAGAATTTATCGAAACAATGTTAGATCAAACTTTTATAGACAAATCACTGGAACTATTATCATCGCAACTTAGAAAATATATTAGAAACTAGTTTTTGCCCGCGACTTCGTCCGCGTTTGGTCAAGAGTAATATATGTAGGTATAGCTGACCAGGCGAACTCTATTCCGTCTTAGAGGTCATAAATAATCAGGTTTTTCCTGTTTCAATCAAACAGAATGATTGACATATTAATTAGTTGTCAAATCTAATGTCAAAAAAAATTTTGGATGGGAAATAGAAAAGGTCTGTTTTTAGGGTTTTCCCCGCAATTATTCCAATTTTATTTTATTCCAGGAGTATGTCAAAACTAAAATTAGCCAAATCGGTTCAGCCGTTCTGGAGTTTTAGCGAGACTAAGGAACAGCAATCCATTTTTATAACATACATATACATATATAGAAGAAGAAGATTTATCAAGAATTCATTCGACACGAATAAAATATATATAATGAAATTCTGTTTTAGTAAACAGAGCGTTCTGTGTGTAATGACGCAGAGAAACTTAGCATTCAACAGGTCGACGATTGTTCTTTTTTCCCTTCCCTTATAAATTTTGCTGAGTTACACTGGCACATTGTGGAGGTGATGAGGGCGTTTATAGCTATTTACTAGTGACGGAATTTTTACAATAAATATATATTCGATGAAAGATTTTGATCATACAAATGATAATAGAAGGTTTGATTCAAGTTTTATATGTATATCGAGATAAAGGCTTTATTTTTTTTTTAAATTATGCATTTAAAAATTAAAATAGTATATATGTATTTCTCCTAATCAAATATGCATCTTCTAAGTGTATATTTCCTATATAACATTGTTTATTTCATCTTCATCTCAAGTCTGGACCCGTATTGTTCAAAGTTAAGCCACTTAGAATACTTCCAGTGCGTCAGAGCGGTCGATCAACTAATTACTTTTGTTTCCAAGTGCACTATTTCGTTCATAAATTATTGATTGCTTCTTAGTTTTTATTGGAGTTTAAAAGCTTTAACTTCGAAATAGTTAATGAAAATTCTAAGATGCTTTATTTAAAGGAGTTCTTCTAATACATATTCAAGTAATATAGTAATCAGTGGCGGCTGTACCTTAAGTGCACTCGTGCGCTGAACCACCAATTCAAAAGATTTAAAAATTACAAAATATTACTTCATCTTTATTTTTAAATTAACATTTTAATATTTATTTTATAAACATACAAAAACGTATAAACAATTAAATTTCCTTATTATGGTCAAAAAGTTTGAGCGCTTTACTAAACTCATATCGTGCGCTTAGGCGAGTGCACGAGGACTGCCAATACATCTTGTATGAGACACGAATTAATACGCCTGGCGCGTGAAACAAAAGATAGTTCATAGAAATGTACCGAGTAATGAGTCGGTTCTCGAGCGCCGCACGAGCGGCCGGAGATTACCGAGAGCACCCGATGTATGACGGATTGAGCCGTTTTTGACATTTCGTTATGTTTTGTTGCATTTTAGTAAAGTGCACCACCAGTTCTATTACCCACCAGCCGCCACTGATAGTAATTACAGCATAAATCAGAGATACGTATAAAAATAACACATCGAACATACCAAAAGTATAATACGCCAACAAGTCTCGTTAAAAGAAAACGTTATTAATATATATTATACTACGTGGTCACAATCGATTCAGAAGTACAAAACTCAATCTTCTCTTTAATAAATTCCAAGTAAAACTCTTAACAGGACCAATAAAACATTTTAACTCGAACTGAACACACTTACAAGTTTTATTGCTGTTGAAATCACGTACAGTGAGTCAAACTGAGAGAATACGTTTCATTTACTTTGTTAAATTAGCATTTGTTGACTCGAAAACTAATATTCGGAGAGTTTAAAATGTTTTAAGATTGTATGACCTTATTTTCGATTATACTAGGCTATAAACTAGAAGAATTCATGGTGGCTTAGTGGGTAAAGGCACGCCTCTCATGCATGAGGATGCGGGTTCAAAACCTGGCGAGCACCAATGTGATTTTTCTAAATCATATGTACTTTCTAAGAGTATTTAGACGCCACTGACAGACTGTGAAGGAAAACATAGTGAGGAAACCTGGACTTATAATTTCAAATTAAAAGTTTGAAATCGCCAACCCGTCTTGAGCAAGCGTGGTTATTAATGCTCAAACCTTCTCCATGTGAGAAGAGGCCTTTGCTCAGCAGTGGGCTCTGATAGGCTGATGATGATTGTTAGCTAAATATTCATTAATTATATTTTTTAACTTACCACAGTGATGGGATACGCTGGGTTTATGATAGTGTAGAGTAGAATGTGATTGGGTCGCGCCGGCAGCTCCCTCTTACGACGCGGTTCGCCTGACATGTAATTGTTGCCATTACTCTGTAACAAACAAATTAATATTAGCTTTTAATATAAAGAAGAGATACGAACAACTGATAGCTTTTAAAAATAGTAAATTTTACTTAAGTATATAGTATAACATACATATAGCATTTAGTTTAAATTTAAGATTAATTTTCAAGAGTATTTGAAGTAATTAGGTCAAGCCATCTAAGTTTTCGTTCTTACTATATACATGATAACTAGTTTTTATTCTCAACTATCCTTTCCTTTTGAACTTCCGCAAAGTGTATGAGGTGTGTTACAACGGAAAATATGTACCTACATACATACGTGTTATATATTCACACAAATTTCCGCATTTATATTATTAGTAGCACATAAATCAAAAGCTGTTCAGTACTGTAATTGAGAGATAAATTTACAATGTGAAACTATATTACATATTCGCTGAGGAGAAAACAAATTACAGATCAAGGTAGTTTAACGACGATGACTAAAACTTATAAAATAGTAGTCTAATCCTTAACATATTTATTTAAAAATAACTATAAAGAAATCGCAATTCATCAAAGTAAACGTGATAATTCAAAATCTTTTATTTGTCCTCGTAATATCAAAAAATAGACACACTATATTTTGGAAGATACATTTGTACATTGAAGAGAATAAACAAGCGAATTACAAAATTATTTAATGTTTTATCCTCGTTTAAATTCACTCAATTTAACAGGCCGTTTGGGTGACATTTAGAATTTATTAACGCGAAATCAAATAACCTTAAGTGAACCCAAAGTTATAAAAAGCCGATGAGACGCTGCAGTATAAAGTATTAAATTTATTTACGACTCAAACGTGCGACCGTGATCCATACACAGTGCTATAAAGCTTCGGCAATTACATTAAAAATATACTAAATTACTAACAAAACATACAAATATAGAGACGAAACCTCTCATCATTCAATGTATTCACGGTGCGTGTGTCGGGTCCATTTTTGTAGTGAGAGGAGCTTCAACAGTGACTGGGACTTGCGATCCAGGTGTAGGTTTAAGGGGCTACATTACAACAAAATTAACGTAATATAACTATGAACAGGCGTTACATACAAAGTGCTTATAAATACTCACACGTTCACTGAGCTATATATTAAAATCTACCGTCGCAATTAAACGTGCTAGTCTCATGGCAGATAAATCAGAATGGTAGTGTGAATACAGTGCACTTGTTAGAGAACTAACTGAACCATATGACGGGATATAAAGGACCCCATGGGTATTAGCTGATCGATTGAACATAATATACAAAAAAAAAAAGAATACAGTATAAGATAGAAATCATATAGTAAAAAAAAAATACAATAATGAAATCTAAGACTATCCTGTACACATTCACATCTCGTCTTTATGATAACGGTTGCTGTAAAGTAACCGAAATGTCGTTAGTATGTTGTTTTTGAGGAAAAAAAAGTCGCGTAGTATATCCGAATAATATTAGTTTCATTTAAACGAATACTCGCGAAAATTTTAGATCTTATAATTTTTTCAGAATTAGTAATAAATTAAACTCTAAATAATTCGATATGTATGTATATATTCTGACGACTATGCTGTCTGTTCATACATATCTGTATGCCAGGTAGCTACATCTCAACGTCATTTCACCCGGACGTGTGTGGTTGTCGGGGTCATATGTATGTATGTACGTAACCTGTGAACTGAAATGCAACGTACTGACAAATTTATTGGCACACGAATCGTGTCTAATTGACGACACGATTACGGGAAAATTTATGCAAAGACTTATGTTTTAATATTTTTTTCTGGAGAATAGAATTATTTTTAAATTGATATCAATTTTATTAAAAAATATATATGAAGTAGAAGCATATCGAAAAACTAATTTGGAAGCAAGTAACAATATCATTCTAAGACTTTCTTTAAAAACAAACGCATATTGATATAGAAACTATAGTAACAATATGAGCGCATACGTAGCGGTAATCACATATGTAGATCACAATAAAATAAAGCTTGTGATACACAAACAGATGTAATGGGATGCTGTGTATTCACCAGAGATAGCGAAAGACGAACTACTGAAACTACTGAACACGGGCGAAGCTGGGACAATAACATTAAAATATATCAACATCTATGTACGTCATTATTATGGAGATATTATTATTCTTATTATTTTATTAAATAATTTAAGATGAGACGAAATAATTGTAATAACTCAATAAAAACTTTTTATAACTGCTGTGATCTATAGTGAAATATCTATTGACTTAACGTGTGATCCAAAAACGCTTAAAAAAAAATCACTAAAACATAAAACCAAAAACAAAAACGCTTATAAAATAACTTTAGATTTTTTTAAATAATTTTAATAGTTTCTAGCTGTGTCTTTTTTGATACTAATTATTATATATTATGTATGTATTAATTCTGACAATGATTCAATGTTTATTAAGTCCTGTATATACTAAGTATTATAGTAAGTCTCTCAGTGCACGTTGAAGTTATCTCTGGCTCGTCATGTTTTTCCACAGAAATGCCCAATGTTTACAATTCGCTTTCAACAAATATTTAAAATATTCGTATTGGCTTTACATATTTCCATGAAGTGCAAAGTAAATATTTCTATAATATTTAGTATAATGGACTTCAATTTATTACTGTAATAATGATGTTTAAGCAAATTGGTGTTTAAAATCAGTAAATATATGACCAAAAACGTACCTCAGATATTAAATCTAAAATTTGTTGTATGGAATTTGTCAGTGTTAACTTTTAAGTCATTTAAGAGACAGAATTTTCTTTTTCATATAAATATAATCAAATAAAACTAAAAGAGATATTTTTGTTTATATACAACATACATAGCTCATTACTTTACAATAAAACAGCCAACCCATCCATGTAAGAAACCTAGCAGACGTAGCTTAACATTTTTTTACAGCTGATCCGTAAATTAACAAACAACCAAATGTACTAACGAGCTTATGTTACAATAAATGAATAGTCAATATAATAACAATTTATTTGGCAGTTTTGTAAATATATTCAAACTATAGGTAGGAATATCTCAAAGAGAAGCTTCCTTAAGACGCTTCCAATACCTTACTCGAATTTCTCACCCGACTTCGCAATCGCATTCAATCAATTCTATTCTCCATCCCCTATGAGTAAAGGTATATTTTTCTTTGGCGTTGTAATATTCTTCCTGGTTTATAAACGAGCGAATATCAACTTTAAACGTATGATGTTAAGGTAGTCTCTGTTTTGTTCATATTAAAATGGATTTCACAATAGATTTACCTTAAGGCTTCACACGAACTTTTAAACATACTAGGTATGAAGAGGGGGAAATTAAAACAGAGCATTGAAATCACATTTTAAGAAAAGAAAGAAAGAACGAATTCTATATAAAATAGTTGGTAGTTTCGTTAGATATTTAAAAAGTTTAGGACTTGTAAAACCATTAAATTATACTCTATACCAATTACAGACGAGAAAATTAGAAAAAAATTTCTACTTTTAATATTGTTTATATTTGAATATTCTCTTCTAATTAATGCATTAATCAGTGATGTCTAAATACTCTTAGAAAGTACATATGACTCGGAAAAATCACATTGGTACTTGCCAGAGCTAGGATCGAACCCGCGACCTCATGCACGAGTGGCGGGCCTTTTAACCACTAGGTCACCACTGACTTCTCATTTAAACATTGTTAAATTTTATATTGTATATAAGGTTCCTATATAATGAGAGTTTGTTCGAAGTTTGCTGAAGATCTGATACTTTAATACAGTGAGTTTAAAAGTTAAGACCTATTTAAAATTACCAACTTCTCCTTTTAACGGCCGCACTGTGAACTATATAGTTTATTTAACTGACAAACTGACATTATGACGTTTAATTACTATTACCATATGATTATTCAAATATTTTTGAAGTATTTTCTGTAACTGTCTATATTTGAAAACTAAAACGAATCGTTTTATTTTCGATAATAAATCGTGTTCACTTGGGGACACAGATGTTTTAAATAAATACCATTTTACAGTCAATGTATTTTCCGATGTGTAACTTGTACATGTGAAAATTTAATAAAAAGTCACTAGGTTTTTAAACGTGACATTGTTGCGAAAATACGAGCGTCCTTTCATATATATTTTATAGCTAAATATACTATATTTAAAAAAAAAAAATCTTCCCCAATAATTTATGTGCTTTAAATAAAATTAAAATGTAAGATGTCATTCAAAACAATAACATAGCTTATACATTCGCTTTATTACAACATATTTCAAGAGAATAGTAACTATCAAAAGTGCCTTATAATCTGAATGATATCATCATAAGAAAATGTATAGGAAAAACATTTAAAATAAAAAAAAATCTTTATATTATTGCTACCCTTATACAATAATACTGACTTACCATCAGATTAACAGCGAAAGGTCCCATTATGGTGTATAAGAACCAAACAAAATAATTATAAAAAGTATTTTATAAATACTACATATATAATGTTACCATTAAAGTTATTTTTATATACTTCTATATTTTATAAAACAATTCATCAACAAGTCTAATTCCCGAACACTATTGAATCGGTATGTCATAATGTAATAATTATAATGAAACAATTAAAATTTGTTTATTATTAAAGGTAGTTTTAGCATTACGATACTAAATACAATAAATTGTATTTTCAATAAAAATTACAGGACAAATCTTGAGCATTTCCTATCATACTCTGCTGTCCGATTAAAATTCCAAGTCTGGAACCGAAACTGACATAAAAGGATTATCATACAAAAATAAACTTTACTCAACGAAAATACGACGTAAAAAACATAAATGGATGAGATAAAAAATATATGGAACTACTACATACTGTTAAGTGAAACAAGTAAAAACTGGGTTCCAGTAGACGGAATAGGAACGAGCATTTTGTAAATGAGGCACCTGGTTAGTGTAACACGACTGATGATTGAATTAGTGAACGAGTGAATGAATGAATGAATGAATGAATGAATGAACGAATGAATGAATGAATGAAGGGGATGAGATTGAATGTACTTATTAGTAGATGTATATAATTAGCCCACTATGTTCGTCATTTTACCATCAAAGCACTGAAATAATTGTTTTCAATCAAGAAACAAAATATTTCTATGGAATAAACAAAAAAAATATTTCATAGAAAACGCTCAGTCATTTGAAGTTATTAAATAAAGTATATTAAAACAAAATAACATACAATACACATATAACAATGTATGTATGTATGTATGTCAGAATAGCCATGTTATTTTTATTTATGCTAACTTAAAATGGCTCGCATTGCAACAGCCGGCAATTGTTTTACATTTCAAATTACTAGAATGCAATTTGATGCCGCAATGAATGTCACTTTGAATGGAAATTGCATCATAAAAACCGACCAGAAAACGAAAACAGAACAAAAGTTACTGTCCATCCATAAGGAATATATCTGTCTTAAATTAAATGAAAATTTAAGGATAGAGAAAAATATATTGTAAAACTTAGTACATATATGTATATGGAATGAGTTACAATCGTCACAAACCAAGGACAGACAATAGAATTCCTTATATATTTTTTATACATTAACAAAATTTTACGACCTTTTTCTATAGTATTAAAAAAGTTTAAGTTTTCAACTTTTTATTATTACACTAATATATATATAGGAACAGACTTGCATATTATGAGATGTAAGATTTTCGCGAGTACTCATTTAAATGAAACTAATATTTTCGGATTTACTACGCGTTTTTTATTTTTGACTATAAACTACATACATACTTTCGTCTGCCCGTAATCACGGTTGCTGTAAAGTATCCGAAACGTCGGTAGTATATAGTTTAGTTTCATTTAGACTTGCATATTATTTTTTATCTTAATTATCTTTATTGAATGTTCTTAATTTTAATTTGTATTTAATATTTCTTAACATATCTTTCTAAAATTAACTATTGTCCAGTCATTACATGTACCCAAACTAATATAATGATTGAATTGAGTCATTTTATTTATATTAGAGCCGCTAACGATGTTATCGATGCAAATGTATTTTTAATGTACTGAATGAACACTAAAAACTACACGAAATAAACATTAATAGTAGCAAACTATTAATGTGCTTTTAAATGAAATAACAAAATAATAATTCAGTAATATTTTAGTAAGCTTAGAATGTACTTGATTAAAACTGTTCATACATAGTTTCATATATTTAATTTTAACTGAAACTATATATTTGTAATTATTATATATATTAATATGTGAAGCGAAAACTTTATATGTCCTTTTAAAGAGATTTTCGAACTGTTTAACTTTGAATTTAACACATTCATTGGGTATATAGAAAAGAAATTCCCTATTGTTGAATATAAAATGTATTAAAATTAAATATGACACACACACACACACACATATATGTATATATATATATATATATAATATGTTAATCCATGAAGATTCGTCAATGTGTGGAATGTCTAACATAAAGAGATTCCTATGCTACAAACTTCATATAATGGATTAATTATAATCAAGATTCTACCATATAGAATATCAAAAAAATTACAAATACTACGTTTATGATGTCACCATTTTTATATACACAAAATCCCTACTAATATTATAAATGCGAAAGTAACTCTGACTGTTTGTTACGCTTTCACGTCTAAACCACGGAACTTATTTTAATGAATTTTGGTACAGATATAGAGTTGACCTTGAGAAAGAACATAGGATATTTTTTAACCCAGACTTTTGAAAGGTTCTCTTGGAAACGCGATATATGCGAAAACCACGCGGGCGAAGCTACAGGCGGAAAGCTAGTGTTTTATAATTGTATGGGGTGTTTAACAGTAAGACGGATAAGAAATAAACTTAATCCCAAATAGGGTTGATGTCAGGCAGGCGGCCGGTCGTAAAAAACGAATAACCAAAACTATTCACAACATGTAAAGCAGACCCTGGCTATAGCTGGGAAATTGCCAGGAAGAAGAAGACGTTTAAGAAATAAAGCAATTCATTCATATTATTTATTGAGACTGAATTGACGGAATGTTTGTTTATAAAAAATCAAACAGCTTCTGCATACGTAATAAGATCGAGGGCTAAAAATACGAAACAAAATTAATTTTAAATCTCTTTTAAATCCTTTATTTCATTTCAATATAAATAGGAAATGTATATCAATGAAACATTTCGAATACCATTTTCATCACATCTTGTTTTTATGACTTTCAGAATATTAGTATTAATTACAACTGAGAATATTTATGAAATTAGTTATATAAATAAAGTAAGTCTTTCACATACAAAATACAGTCCGCATTTCGATGAAACTTTTCAGTGAAAATAACTAAGAAATCTGAATTATATGTATGTTAGTCTGTGTTGTTCTCAAGGAAGAACGTCAAAAGTTTGCCTATTGTATGACGTCACGTTATATATATATATATATATATATATATATATATATATATATATATATATATATATATATATATATAATATAGAGGCCGTTGCTAGATAGTTACAATTTTTTATATAGGCAAGAATCAGTAATTTATCTTTGTATTAAAATCTAAAGTTCACGCGGACGAAGTAGGAGGATGAAAGTAGTTTGTATCTAAACCAAGACCAAAACCATCTAAAGCATTTCACATATTAAAACAATTAGTGTTATTCTGGTTCTATTACAATTAAATTTTATTTGACATTTTTTTATTAATTAATTTACGATTTTTTTATTGATTATATTAGGTCTAATAAGTAATAAGTTTGAGTAACATGAATTTCTTTACTTATAATACTACAGTAACCTTTCGTATTAAATATAAAATTTGATATAAATAAATCCAAATCATCTTTTAACTCGAATAATCATTTTTAAAATAGATAATTACTTAGACCAGAGCATGTAATAAAAAATCTATTTACACCTTTAATGTATTCCATCAAACATAACTTGCCCAATTCAGTGATTCCTAAAACTCTTTCCTTTTCCTAGTTCAATAGTGTTTTAAGTGCAAAATGTTTTTTTAAATCTATTTTCTTACCTTGTCGGACCTATCGTAACATTCACGCTTCAAAGCTCTGAGAGCACTTGATACTAACAAAGACACTTTTATATATTTTTTATTCCTGGAAAAAACCAATGTTTTTAAATCAATTATTTCGTCAAATTTCGTCTTTATGATCACGGTTGCTGAAAAGTAACCGAAACGTCGGGAGTATGTAGTTTTTACAATAATAGAATACGCGTACATATTTAATCTGAAAAACATTAATTTCATTTTTAAAGTTTCCATATCATATGTCTTTGTAACAATTGATATGTAGTATTCTAGCTCTCTCTGACATCAAAACAAATAGGGGTCAATAAAGACCCGTCCAATTTGGTAGTGTTGACCGCGGGGCGGGGTACAAACGACCCCGCTATCGTAAGATGGTTAAAAGGACGGAAAATTGTACCCTTATCGAGTTTCCTTATTACTGTGATACGATTTGTTCTAAACGTCAATGTGGTAACTTTAACCCTTCATAAAGCTATGTCAGAATAAGCATTATCCCATTATAAAAATACTGAAATAATTCAAGCAAAACGTGGACAGACAACGCTAGAATTGTAGTGTATAAAGATAATGAAGTTTAACATTAATATATGTATAAAAAATATTCATTTTCATACACGTCCAGCTGGCAATCTTTCCAGTGACGGAGCACGCACGTAACTTTATTCCGTCTGATGAATTGCAATAAAGCAATGCAGTTGTGTAAAACGTAAATTTCAGTTCCGTTTATTCTCTACGGAATTGTCAGAAAAGCTTTTTACAGCTCATTTGTGTATTAAAAATGTGATTGTGTTTTATACTACATACATATGTGTATCACCTGAATCCGCTCGCTTACATTTTAATATTTACAAAATAAAATATTCTTATTATATTTTCCATAAGTTTCAATACCTACAATTCATAGTTATTTTCTACAGTATCGTACAACAAATAGACGTATACACTATCAACTGTTTAGTATATATTTTTCATACTACATATATCTAAACTGATGTTATTTAATTTACCCAACAACAATACCCATTAGTACGAGTGAGAACAAACATAGTCACTGATAGTTAAAAGTTTTTCATACATATATATTACTTTGTATTAAAGTTATATTATTATATATACACAAATAAACTGTCAATCCATTAAACACTGCGGTGAGTTTGTAAAGGGAAGTGAGTTTGGAGTGGATTGTGGCTAGGACGATTTAAATTGACCATCACTTTATAAATAATGTAACATTTTATTGTACTAACTTCACTGATTTATTGGCATATGATATATACTTCAATATTATATATAAAGAAGCTTAATAATATTAAAATCATATAATATATATTTCATAAAATAGTG